TCTTTGAAAAGGTGCAGCCAATTAGGTGAGCTCAAGTTTAATTCTGCTGGTTGCTAAGAGGAAGTCATTGTGCAACAGTTTTGCAAGAGCATTGAAACTGGTAGAACAAGATACACAGCATGTGGAAGTGAAACCAAAGAGATTAAAGAACAGTTTGGGCTGTTGTTGGGTCTTCTTTAATTACCTTTTTAAGACACTCCACTTTTCTTTAAACTTTAAATAACAGCATGAAGAAGGCCTCCTCTCTTAGAGGGAGCAAATAATCCTCTGTCATGCGTAAGCACGCTTATGAGAACAAGCCAGGTATGAATTTTCAGGAGACAAACCAATCTGCACAGAAAAGACAGCATATGGGAGATGAGAGATGGAGAACAGGTTCTGTAACAAGGGCCCCTGTTCAAAGCAAGTCAGGAGAGGTCTCAGCAGCTAACTCACCAGGTATGTGTTGTACATCAACAAAGCCTTCTCTGTTGAATGAAAGGCTCCTTCAGCTTTGCCTCTAACCTCCATTCCTTCTTCACCACAGCAGAGGGGTTTGCTTTTCAGAGAAGGAAAATCTGAGAACACACTCATTTCTTCTATGGATTCAGAAAACCACAGAAAGAACTAGAGCCCAAGCCCTCGCTGTTCCCGGCAGGCCAGACCCTTCGCTACAGCAGATGTAGCATGGGTTGTATGAAAACCCTGTGTGAAGTTGGTATCTCTGCTTAGGAGCTGAATAGTTCTTACTGCTGACACAAACCCTGAGCTCTGACTCTGCCCTTCAGGAGCTTTTTTCCAACACCAGAATCTGCAAGCAGTGAAATAAAAGCCACACTAATAGTCTTTAGAGCTTTCCACTAATTCAGCCCATTCCTGTGCATATAGCTGGTAAGCAAGGAGCTGCTGCCTGCAAATACCCACGCTATCATGAATTATTCTTATGCAGGGGAACCAAGATCATTTGGGACAGAACTGCTAACCAGTTAACAACCAGGAGAAGCTGTCACCACAGTTTCATTGAACTGGGCAGAGTAATAGCTGAGACACATAAGTCTTTCAATCCTCCCTTCGATGTGGATGACTACCCCTATCAAGTTTTAGGTCTAAACTGTCAAAGAAATTATCATTTCACACTTTTTTCTCCTCATTTCATCTCCTCTCCACATCTTCACCTTCTTTTTGCATTTCCCTTACCTCCCCCAAAGGAGCAGGAACATATATTTTAACAAAAAGCAAACACTCTTATTCAAAACTTCTCTTTTCCTCCTCCTTCTTTTTACATCTCCTCAAAAGCTGGTCTGAACTCCATATCTACTTTGACTGTCCTCAGCACCTTTCATGGTTAGCTGAATGACCTCAAAGAGTGGTGAGAGGAGGAGTTCAGCCTAGGAACCATCATGAGCCAAGTCATCTTCTCTTTCCTCCTCTGGGCTTCTTGGTTTCTGTCCAGCCTAGGCATCCTCATCTCTTCTGTTTAATAAGAAGGATTCAACAGTCTGCTTGGCTGTTCTCAGAAACCTTCCTGTAGAAATTCTAAAGAAAATAAAAACTGTTGGCCGGAAATGATACACTTTTTTTGCGCCAAATTCTTGAAAACCAAAGCAAACTATTATCTGAGATGATGTGTTCATGTTTGGTTCCCCAGAAATCAGTCAAAAAAGCCCAAACAAATAATTCTTCTTAGAAATACTGTTGCTCTGTTCTCAAGATGATTCACTGTCTGTTAGCGTAGAAGTGACTTACTACAGTCCTTTAATTTGAAAAATGGTTATCTCCCGCCTTCCTCCAAAATAAAAAACAAAGCTCATACAATAAAGCTGATCATATCAGTTGCCTTGACACTAAACTCCACAATGAGCTGTGTTCCAGCTGACGCTGATACCATGATTTTGATAAGCAGCTGTTTTCAGTAATCCATGCCTAGGCATCAAAATGATTTTCAGAGATTATGCGGGAAATAAGATTATTACTTACCAAACAATTACAAAATGCATGGACATTATATCAGGTTTGATGCTTATAAATTAGAATGGCCTAAGGCCCGTTACAGCATTAGGGGCAAGGATCTCAAGAGGGAATTACAGATAGACAGAAACCCCCAAGTAAATGGCAAATCCTAGTGTTAGTCATGGAATACAGTGGTGCCAGGGCTGCCCTGCAGAGATCATCTCAGCCTGTCCACCTGCCCCAAGGTAGGCTTCATGAAAAACAAGGGTAGGACAGAGATCACACAAAAATTGGAAGCTGCCAGGCAAGGTAGTTACAATTGGTAAGCATACATAATCACCATTTCAGGACTCAGCGGGGGTTGAGTACTACAGCCCTGAAGAGGTACTTCTAGACAAATTGTGCACGTACCAGGTGTCGAGCAGAGAGAAGGGCTCAGGTGAGCTGTGGCTACCGTGGTCCTTAGCACTGCAGTAGTCAGAAGACTAAAAAATTTTGAAGTTTCCAGCTGCATTTGGAAGATATTTTTGATTTATCAGTGCAAGTGATACGCAGATGTTCCTCAAATCCAAAACATAACATACACAATAGTTTAATTATAACGTCACAGTAAAATATACAATATCACAATAAACTGTTCTTCAAATGTATCTACTACTTAGAGATAAATACACACACATAGGCTTTAAATCTCTGGACATAAAGACAAAACAGCTGAAAGCAACAAGATAGAACCAGATATATTTCAGAAGATTATTTTGAAAGAGGCACTCAGAGGTCGTAGGAACAGTGGTCATAGGAACCTATAGCAGTTGCTGATTTTATTCATTGCTAGTTAAGTTGACATGAGAGGAATAAAGCTGTTTTTAAAGGAGAGGAAAAGAATTTTCAAATCAGGGTCCAAAAAAAAATTCAAAGACCAAAAAAGACACCCTGATCTGTTTTTCTACTGCTAGAATACCTCCCTTATTCATGCTTCTAAACCTCAATGCAACCAACCACCTTCTCACTCCTGCCATTTGAGAACATACTTCAGTAGGAGATACGGGGTCTCAGCACTGCTCAGGGCACACAAACCAAGCCTTAGGGGAGGAAATACCCCCAGCAAGTCACAAATGAGATGCAAGCCAATCCCCTCGGTATGATGACAGGCCCAAGCAAGCTCTTTAGCTCACTTGCCTATATTTGACACTTACATGGAGAAGGGGAGTCAGATCACATACATTTGGGCAGGAACCAGCATACAGTGCTTTTTTCTTCACATATTTAAGGTCTGTTATCTTTTTTCCCTTACCTCTATAGGAACTCTGTTTCAGAATCTTATCTCCTGTCTTGATATTTAAAGGGAACCTTTCCTGAATTATCACAACTGTGCATTTGACAGAGTATATCCATCTAGGTCACAAACTTATTTATACTGGGTAGTGCCTGGCTGGCCACTAATCACTTTGTACTACGTGCTGTACAAAAGCTTAACTGAGACTCTTCCCATCCTAGAAAGCTTTCAACCCAAAGATCAAATCCTAAAGGTAGCAGAGGCTTAGTTACAGTCCTGAGACTCAGGAACCTGGAAATCTGCTTTACTCCCAGAGCTATATTTAAGCACTTGTATACATGCGAGTGCAATTATATACAGACACAGCTAGGTTGTACTGACCAGTTTTATCGCTGAAGGAGTGATTATAATCCATGAGTACACACACTCTCCATGATTTAGACCCTGGTCTGGTCAGTGCTTCCACACATCTGCTCGCTCCCATACACCCTGAATTCACCATTATTCAGAAAAACCAGCAAGCGGCATTCTAGCTAGAGTTAGAATTTAGCATTGGCCTAAAGGAGGGCTTTGATGCAAATAAACCACTGGGGGCAAGCAAAAAAAGGACATTTCAGCTCAGGACACTGCTTTATCATGCACCCCCTTCTGTTTAGCACACAGGGCTGCTCCTTAGTCTTAAGGTTACCTGCAACATCTCAGCTCCTCACATCGCCCTAGCAGACTTTTTTAGCAGCAGGTGCCAAGAACCAAGTACTCTGCTAGAGTTCCCATACCAACAGTAATGATCCGTCAGAGAACTCAGTACCCTCTCCCTTGAGAAAGTTCCAAGTATCTTATGGTGGTTATTACATAGCATCCTTCCTCAAGGTTGCTCATTGGCCCTTTTCTTCTCAAAGACCCCTTTGCCCATGGTTACTAACTTGAGCTTTTTCCTTTGAGTATAAAAAAGAAAATGTTTTGCTTCTTATGATACCAACTTTAGGAAGCTGGGAGACTAGAAAGCTGTTACCTGGTGCAGAGCATGGACCAATGCCACAGATGGGGATACAGAGTGCAAGGTGGGGAAGCATCAGAACGCAGAATTTCCAATATTTCATTTCTGCCTGGTGGTACCAATGTGAGGGGCATTCTTAATCTGTCTAGAGGTAAGCATGGGCTGATACTCGCAGCACGTTGGGAGAATATGCTAGTCTAGTACCATCTATTGTATACATGTACTGAGTGTGCGTTTTTTCATGTCTGCACATTCAGGCTTACATATAGAACTCAATCCTCACAGTTTAGACACAGAGCTGCGATTCAATCACTGCAATCTAGCAAAGGAGACTTCTGTGCAAGACTCAACAGATTTATCTCATCAGAATTCATCCTACAGACATTCGCTACTGCTAGTTACAAAACTCTTCAGTAGTAAGCTACAGGATGAAATTTGGACTCCTACCTGCAGTTCTTCAGGTCTTGAAATATAAGTTCAAATGAGGAAAAAAATAAGGCTAGGCAAACACCTTTTCTTGTCTAACACAGTATCACTTACCAATGGCATTTGGATGTAATCTGTGCAAATATTCATCAGTACACTAGCACCGCCATAAACTTTTGGTGAGCTCTTATGAGGGCTTGTCTCGATGTAGGCAAAAGCGATAAACACCCAAGTCCTGCGGCTGGGTGGCGAGTCTGTATTAGCTACCACTTCTCTGCTTTCTATTTCTTTGCATGACGCTTTCACTGGCATGACTACTATAAGTAGAAAGTGGCATTCTTAACCAGTAAAAACAGAATCAGATGCATGAAAATGATAAATATTGCTTTATTAAATTACTTTTATACTCCTACAAAGAAATTTTCTGATTTCCGTTACAGAATTAAATGAAGGAAATTAATTGCCATCTCTGCAGTCAGCTAAATTTAGATACAAAAAGGTTGTAAAAAGACCAGCCTATTCAAGTTACATAAAAAAGGCAGAGAAAAGACAGGTTCCCTTAGGAATCTTGAGGCTCAAATATAAAGTCCTATAATACAATGAAATTAAGAATTCAGCAATGTGTTGAACAATTGTAAACTGTAACTGCACTAGTGGACCACATTATTCAGCAGTTTCCTTAAAGGTATGAACTGTGAACTGAACAAAAAGCGTAGCTGACACAGCAGACCTCATTTAGTTGTTCTCCCTTTCACTCCCTCCCAGTAAAAGTTGTGAGATCAGCATTCAGCATTTAAATGATAGGAAGGAAACTTGCCTCCATAAATATCAGAAATTTCTCCATTCCATAACTATTTATATAAAGTAACTAGCTGTTACAAATCAGTTTCAAGTAAAACAGGTGGCTGAGGCAAAAATAATCAAAATCAGATCATATACAATTTTACTGTAAATACAGTAATTTGAAAGATAAACACATAACCATAGCACTGACAGGATATCAATGCTGCTGTATTATAGACATGATGTGTCAGTAGAAAATTAGGATGTCTATTATCAAAATCGAGGACATTCATTCCAGTCTCTGGTAATCTAATCTTAGTGCAAAACAGATGCTAAGACATATTTAGCAAAAACGGTGATACATTTAAGGCCAATTATTTGTTCAGTCATCACTATCGCTTCCAGATTCACTCAGCTGCAAGTCATTTCCTAGAAGAAAGAGAGTCATCATATTAGTCATTTTCAAGGAAATACTTCTCTTCTTTCAAGACATTCCCTTTCCCAATTAAAGGCTTACAAAAACTAATACCAAACAGGTCAGGGAAGGTTGGACTAGATGATCTTTAAAGGTCCCTTCTAACCCTAACTATTCTATGGTAAGAGAATAAATAGGTGTAGAACCAAACTCCCCAGTGACAGAACCTTAGAGAGATCACTTTTCTACAATTTTAAAAACTTGGCAAGGAAGCCATCAGCTTATTGGCCACAACTGCATTTATCTAATATCACCAGATCACAAAAGACAACACCTAGCTATCTTTGCCACCCACATTTTCATGCTTCATAAGTGGGAAAACTGCTGGTGAATGCAGTTTTGTTAAAAACGAGTTGTTGGTTTTTTTGAAACACATCTGAATGCTACTCAGCTGTGCTTGAAAACAAAGTGGTGTCTCAATCAAGAAGAGCAGCTCTTTGATGTACCATTTAAAGATGTATCAGTGACCTACTATTTCAAACAGGTTTTGGAACAAGTGAACAAACAAAACATCAAAAGAAATTTTACAGAGCACTTTAATTTGGTGGCTATATATATTTCAAAATGGGGAAGTAAGAAGAGAGACTACATTGTGCTTGCAATGGATGTCCATAAGCTTAGGGGGTGGGAGAGAGGTAATCTTTCCAGGATGACAGATAACTAGCAAAAAATACAGCAGCATGCTATACAGAATCTACATCATATCTAGCAACTTCCCACGCATTTGTAAGAATTTGTTCCAACTAGTATGCTTTTATTCACACCTCCCTAGCCAAACAGCCATTAAAAAAAAAAAGGAATGCATCTCAGGTTGTGCAGAAAAGGCCTAAGAAGTGAAGGGCGGGGGGTGGAAATCACTGAAACTGAGTAAGCACACTATTTTCACATGTCCTTTCCTCAGCTGCAGCACCCTTCACAGATCACTTTTGCAGATGGGTAAAAAAGTATCCTCAAGAGGGTAAACCCAACAAGACACTCAGATTGGATCTTTTGTTATCAGGCATATCATTTCTGCCAGAACACCGAAGCTTTAACATGGCTGCATTTAGCCTTTCTTTGTTTTTCCACTATGTCATCATTAATGCTTAGAAAGTGGTACATGGTTCTCTGCAACAAAACAGAAAACACTTCATATAAGAGAAGAATAGTGAAGATGGCTGTTTCCAGCAATCTTTAAAGCATTACTGTAGACAAATTTTTTCCAGTCCTCTATATAGAGACAACATTTACAGCAGTATTGTTTTAATATAAATTAAAAAAGCAATTTTGAAAGAACAAAATCAAGTAATTTGTCAATAATTATTCAGGACAATATATTATCCTGAGAAATAATATTTCAAGGCAGAGAATGGCATTAGTCACTCAAAGGAAAACTTACAGTGAATTCTTAGAAATCCCAGCCCTGTTATGCACTACCTACTTTAGGAGAGGACTGGGAGTACGAACAAGATGATAACCCTCCAAATAGTGATTCTGCAGCCTTCAAAAGTTATTTCAACATAGTTAGTAGAAATTACACAAACCCTATAACACCAGCCAAAAATACCAGTGCTTGTGAAAACCAGCAGATGGGAAAAGCAAGAACTCCAAGTTCCAGAGTCAGAAATAATGCATTAGGATTTACTTCAGGGAAAACTTTCTGCCCCATTTTTATACCCTACCTCCAAAAAACACCTTCAGAGAGATGGCAAAATAACACAGACTAGAGTTGGTAGTTTTCAGATGGGTTTGGTGCAAGAATGGAAAGTTCATTTAACTAGGACTCTGAAGAAACATCTAGACTCTATTGTACTTTGAAGGCAGCAATAAAGTGGGGAAAACTGTTGAATTATGTTTTCACAGTGCCAATTGCTTATTAGCAATATTAATTGAGGAAACAGATTGCACTGCAAATTACGACATTTCCTAAACTTTTATATCAGTGACTATAATACATTCAATTGAATTCTTGCGAGTTATAGGGGATGGGGAAACTCATAGGAGTGACCTGTGTTTCACAGATCTTTGTGGTCACACCAACACCAAACTAATACAAGGGAAAATTATTTCATGACTAGCTGCTTGTACCAGCACCAAGTATCAAAAGAAGTGAAGTTGTGCTGAATACTTGTACATAGCACAAGGCATCAGAATAGCCTGGTCTATGCTGGTCTTTCTTTGGAAAGTTACTTTATTGAACATAACTTTGTTTAAACAAAAAGTGGACATAAAGCAACAGATGATAAAATATTTATGAAGAACAATTTCATTAGTGCCATCATTCACAAACTTTGTTATAAGGCAAGTTGTGAACCTATATAATCAGCTTCTGAAGGTAAAAGGGGAAGAAGCAGTATTTTGGGGGTGAGGGGCAGTCTTGAGCCCTGGATTCCCGAAAAGGTAGATTATGTACATCTGACAAGTATTTGGTTACCATGCTCTAGACACCACCTCCTGTGTTTTCCAAGTTCCACAAAACCTCAGTTGTATGATTTCTGCATGCAAGATGAAACTCTGCTCTACAAGCCTTCCCCCAGCGTTCTGCCTGCACACAGCAAGCCAAAGGAAAACTTCACTAATTACCTAGTATGGCCCCAATTTTACAGAGGTGCACAAAACTAGTCATGCACATAAGCATGGTCAAACCTCAAAACAGGATTAGACAAGCAAACAGCTTGTGCTGACATTTGTTGATTCAATGTTTTATTTTTTGTAAAACATTATTTGAGATGTAAGAAATGACTGTACAGGACCTCAACTGAGAACTCATGCCATTCAAGCTAGAACCATGTGCTATCCATTTAGTTTCTCCAGGTTTCATTCTCCTGCCAAATTCCCTCAGCAAGGGAGCTAGAGAAACACATTCTCCTTGAAAGTAACATTTTTGATCTTTGTCTAGTTGAAATGTATTTTAAGTGTATTTTAAGTTTTAACTGTTAAGTTGGGGACAGAATCGCTTTAAGCAGTAAATAGACCTGTAACCATAACAGAAGTAAATGGGATTAAGCTAAAGGTCTAGGCAACCTCAGATAGTCAAGCCCAAGGTTTGATGCTACAGACAGAGGTTCTACCTGTCAATGTGGTTCTCGAGCACCATCAAGCCACCAACTTCCCCTGTAATAGTTTTGATGTTGTCATGTTTTAAGCAGTGCTTTCTCACTATGACTGTTGGAACTGGTGGACTTGGCCACCTGTACTTGTAAGTATACTTCTCAGTGGAAGATTTGCCAGCTGGGATTCTGTCACTGGGGATAGAGCTTAATCTCGTCTCCAGAACAGTTGTATTTAAAGCTGAAGAACGGGAAATCCCATTCATGAATAAGGGTTGAAATAAATGGCACACTCTAAAGCTACGCAAATCATAAACATGAAGACATTGTTCTCTACAGTGACAGTAAAATGAAAGCAGCATTTAATCCTTTGCACACGAAGTCACAGGACTTTTCAGTCTGATTTTATCTGTACATATGATCTTATGCAGTACATAAATAACCAGCACAGATATTTAATTAAGTATTTAAAATACTAGCTACAAAAAAAACCTGTTCATGTTATCCATTAAGTACTGAAAAAAAAGTAGATCTACCAGAGTCTAAAAATTTCAGTATAACAAGTTTACATATAAATGATAAACCTTAAAGATCTTAGGCTGCAAACCAGCGTTGATGGGAATCTCCTCAAACCAGGAGCCTGCAGCTAAGCACCTAATTAAAAATGAAGAGTCACCATAGCTGAATACTCACTTCTATGTCTGAATACTCCTGCTATTTAGGTAGCAAACTTAAGATTCTCTACCTACTGGGTTTTTTTCTGTCCAAACTCTCCTTTTTTGAATACACTGAGCATTCAATTCCAGGCTGCGCAGCAACCAGGTCTTGAAGAATATCACAGCTACTCTTCAAATTACATTTTTAGTTGCCTGAATGGGTGGAGTAAGATAGTATCACCTGAAAGCAAATCGCCTCCTTCCTTATATGCAAAGGACAGTTTTGCCATGTTGTCCAGTGGAACAGTGCCACGAATAATAGTAGCTAAGAATATACCATCTCTTCTGTAATTCAGAGTATTGCCAGTATAGTATCTTTCCCATAGTTCTACCCAAGAAATTTAAGCATATGTTTTGGGAGTGCCCTGTTAGTTCAAGTATTTTCAATGCAAAATTACTGTTCTCCAGTCCCAATGTATATAACTAGGAGGAAGCCAGAAGAGCTTAGGGAGTATTTTCAACTGCATCAGCTTTAATTTAATAACACTGGGGACCAAGAAGCTTCTAGCCCAGCATCTAATTCAGACCGCTGCTGAACAATCAAACCCTAGCATCACTTCCCACAGTTTTAATTATAACAGAGACATACTTAAAAACAATATGGTTTCCTTTCAGAATCTTGATGTCTGGAATTGTGCACTAAGAAAAGAACAGCCTTTGTACTTACGTAGTGTATTCATCATATGACCACTGCTCTCTTGGGATCTGTTATGACTGGCATCTTTGTCAGGGACAGCCTGTTGTGGTGTGGCAGACACAGTAGGCTGTGGCTGCAAATATGGCATTGATATAGGAAGAGAGGGCTTCGTTTCCTCGTCTTCAGAATCGCTAGAACTATTTTCACTACTTGATGAAGAGGACGAAGAACTTTTAGAGTCAGATGAACTGTCAGAGCTACTCAGCTGGTCCATGATACTGGCTTCTGCTTTTAGCTCTGCAAACAATATGATTTGTTTCTTAGTTAACATTAATCATAACTGAAATATAAGAAGGAGGAAAAAAGTAATAAAAAGGAAAAAATCAACAACAGAAATCAGGTACACACGTTATAGCAACTAAAAAAACCAAACCAAACAAACCAAAACCACCAAAACTCTCCAGAACAAAGAAAAGGGCACAAGCAAGCATCCAACCTATCATGTGGTTTTCTTCTCTTGTAGTTTGGGCACTTTCTCCCTTTCAAGCCAAGCATTAGAAAAAGGGTGACTGTGAACCCAAATGCTAACCCCACATTCCACAGGGTAGTGCGTCCCACATAGCCTTTAATTTGTGCAACTAGCAACTCTTCTGTATTTCTCTCAGCATCCCCAAAGATGCCTTTCACTGACTAAAAACTGCAGTTACAAATCATACAGATAAGTTAGCCATAAGATGTCTGCAGCTGCACCCAAAATGCCTGCCAGCAGTTCAGCATTACAATCATACACTTGTTTGGACTATGTGACATTTTGCTCAAAACCAGGTTAAGCATGAAGAATATGCAACCATTACTATTAGGAAGTTTTCACCAAATCCTTGTTCTCTTTATAGATTTGGAGGCAGGAAGAAAGCTAGAACACCATGAGGTAGACAAGAAATACTGGAAATTAACAGATCAAACTGACTCAACCAACTTGCATTCTCACCTGACTACAATAATATTTAGGAGAGTATGACTGGATAGATCATGCTGCACAGTATGCATTTTTGGTATATGCTAGCCAAACTCCAACATACAGAGGAAGTTAAGTTTTGCAGAAAGAGTACACATAATAAGTGTGCAAAATAGGGGTGCTGCTGAAGCACAAGTCTGAAACAGACCACTGAATCTTGAGGAGTTACCCAGAGTGCAGAAGTTCATCACTGTACAAGATTGTAACTACCCAGACATTTGTTAAGATGGTCTTACAAGCACTTTGAATACTTCAGGAACAGCTTTGATATAGCAGACATAAAAAGCAAGCAGGAGAGTGGCTCATCTCACTTCAAATTTACCCAATACAGAAGAACAGGTTGAAGACGAAAGTCACTAAGATGCAAGATGGCTCAGAGCTTAAGAGAGGAAGGGAGAAGCTTCAACACAAACTTCCATGAAGCCTTCCAATTCCAATGAGTCAAAGGCCACTCTAAGGAAAGGTACTTAGGCCAGTCAGCCTTATCAAAGGCCAGTCTAAAGGAAAATGGTGTTCAGGAAAAATGGCACCTGAAATAATGTGGCTATGGCTACAAAGACAAACTAATCCAATGCCAAGGAAGAACAGAAAGTACAATAAAAGACCATACTGGCTGACTTAAACATAAGAGAAGGGGGGGGCGGGAAATGGAAGCATCCTTCTGTTACTAAGGCCATGTATAAGAGAACAGCTTAAGGACAGAAAAGACAACAGAAAAGCTAAGGCAAAAATTAGGATGCAGCTAGCAGAACGATCAAGAAGTAATTTCAAAATTAATTCTAGAGATGAAATGCCAAAGAAACAACCGATCTACCACACATCTGGAGCTGTAAGCTAACTGAAAGATACCACTCAAGTCCTATGCACTTAATTCCACTTCCTCCCTGCTCTCACCGATATCTAATAAGAGAAAAATTTTAAGTGAAAGGCTAACAGTTAATACCGAAATCTGAGGAATAAGATCTCTGTCTTGAATTTTGACATAATTTAATCTGACAAAACTTAAATTAAGTATTTTCAAACAGTGAAGAAATTGTACGTATACTAGAGTAGAAAGGTAGAGTGATCTTTCCCCCACCCAAGAAAACAAAGTCAGTAACAAGTTCAAGGTAGTGTACTTAAGCAGGAATAGTCAGTTACACAACCACAGGATGAAGAACGATTAAGAAGGCAACACTTCTGAAGAGTCTGTGAGTTACAGTGGATCACTACGCATAGTTCTACCACACCGTGCTGTTGTGGAAACGCCAAGCATTACTCTGGGACGTGATACTATTTGGTCTTTGTGTATAAAGATGAATAGTGCCTATAAGACAGTCTTCTTGCTCAACTCAGCACTGATAAAACCTTAGGTGAAACAGTAAATGCATTTAGTAATAGTATTTACTATACTCCATTGTAAGATAGTGAAGGAGAGTGACAATGAATCAGGGATCTAGAAAACTTAACTTCTAAGGAAAGATTGAACCAGCTGGCACCATTTTGCATAAAGAAGGGAAAAGACATAGCAGCTTCTAAGTTCATGAAGGACTGCTGAAAAGCAGCAGAGTAATCTGGCCTATACTTGCATGATAAATATGAAAGTAGTAATAGGCTTACTGTCAGATTATTTATTAGGAAGAACCTGAACAGTAAGGAGAGCAAAGCCCTGGAATGGATTGCCAGAGAGAATAGAAGATCTGTCACTGGAAGGCTTTAAGAACAGGTTAAAAAATTATGTCAGAAATCTGACCTTAGGACAGAAGGACAGACAAGATGACTTTAAAAGGTCCTTACAATCCCTATTTGTCAATTATTCTGCATTCTTTAGTAGTACTGAAATTGGACTGGCACTACACAAGAATGATACATGTTCGCAGCCACTTTGGTGACTTACAATATGTTTGAAACCACCACTCTCCCCAAAACAACAGACCACCAAGAAAAAGCATCATTTTATTCCATGTGCTCAGGTACTCTTTCTTCTTTGCAACCTCAGATGTATTCTAGTACTGTTCTGTAGTATAGGTTTCTGGTCAGAGTTTAAAACCAAAATGGAAAAAAAAAACCCCTTCATAATGACACATCTTAAAAAAAAAAAAAATCTGTTTAAGGGAATTCAGAACATCTTGGGAGGCAGATGTCAATTCCAGTCAATGAAACTGCCACCTGTCAGCATTTCTGTAGCAAGTAATTACCACCTGCCATCTTCCTTGTCCTCCAAAAGGAAATAAGGTCTCCTATTAAGTGAAATAGGAGTGTCACACCAAACCAGAGTCTCTCAAAAATACAGTACATAGCACTGTTCAAGGGTTGATTTATGCAAGTTTTTAGCTGTCTTTTTCATTGGAACCTCATCTTTCACAGGTCTTATCCAGTAATTTAAAACTTATTTTGAGTTGTAAAGCACCGTAACCTATATGTTGGCTGAGTGCAGAGAAAGAATGAGAAGTGATGTCAAAATGGAAGTGACTCAGTTGGTTCCAGTACAACTATATACTTGATTAAAGTAGCAGTGGAAGACTGAATCGAGGAGAGAGAGCAGTGAGACCCTTGGCATTATTAAGCCTAATGGTTCATCTGATTTTTTTTACCTTAGCAAGTCTCAAATACTGCTTTGTTACCTCTTGAGCCAGAGTGGTCATTTCCATATGAGGGTAAAGTGCTTACATAATTAGCTTCTAGTGTGAATCTAAAAAAAACTAAAAAAAAAAACACCAAAAACCACACAAACAAAAAAACTTGGCTCTTAAAAACTAGTTGCTAGTGAAGAGCAAAGTTTCTAAAACCCACGTGACAGTGGAGCTCACCTCGTTCAATATCATCCATAGGAGAAGATGGAAACATCTTTTCTTTTGGTGGAGAATTTTTAACATTGTTTGGAACCTTAGTTGCATTTCGCATTTGCTGCTGTTGCTGCTCTATGCGAGACTGGACTTTACTGCTGCCTTCAGCTCTGTGTGTAAAAGCAAAAGATTTTTACTTTACTATAGAAGTACCAGATGCAAGGAAAAAGGCAAGAATACAGGGGATGCAGTACCTTAAGTTGTGGAATTATTTGTCATGCCTTTCTAAATAGCATCATTAGATTTCTAGGTACGTTATTATATTGGCATATAATTATATACAGATGTATTAAAAATTGTTTTTTAATACAGTGCCAATAACTTTTTAACCCTTTGTCAGTTGATTTGTTTTTATACCTGGCTACCCAGGATCACTTAATAATAATTCTGCTGGACATTACTTATATGGACTCAGCAGCAGAAAAAAAAAAATACTCAAAAACTTGGTATGAGAAAAACAAGCCATTAATATTACTGAAACATGTCACAGAAATTATCTTTTTTTTATTTTCTCTTTTAAAAGTCAGAAGACAGTAGGCAAGGTACTTTCCAAACAGATTTTTCCCCCCTCTAAACTCATCAGAAAATAGTTACCATCTCTTTCAACAATGTGACGGTTTTTAGTTAAAAAAACCCAAACATTCCCGTTTCTTCTTCCAGCCAAGACTCGAAAGCTGTGAAGTCAGTGTGCTCAGAAAGCAGGCTTTTCACTCTACTGAACAAAGCCAGCTACTTTCTAAAAATGATATTTTGCTAAAAATAGTAATGGGTAGTTATGTATCTCAATTTAGACTTATTAACAAATCGATTTTCACAATGAGTAAAGCACAGTTGTTTCTCCTGTAAATCACCCACCTGGTTTTTTTCACAGTGATGTTGCTACTAAGTTTCTCTAGGCGACATTCTCCAGTGTCATGATTGATAATTAAGATACATTCTTTTAGGTAAGGCTTCTTTGAGCCCTTGAACACAGTCACCGGTGGAGTTGAGCCCTGTTAAATCAGAAGTTTAGTAAGTGTTACTACTCTAGTCATTTTTTTCTTAGAAACAGCAATCCATCACAGTCATGACAAGTTCACTATAAGTGATCATTTCTAGCCTTTAAAAATGTTATCAGTTAATTTAAATTAGATTCACAGTAACCATGACCAGAAGCAGCTGGTGACTGACTGGAATGGGATTTCACCCAGTTTAGCTTAGTTTGAAACTGATTAAATGTTTACTTCCCAATGAGAGTGTGCTCACTGTAGGACTCCTTTTACCAAAAGGGGTTTCAGTTACCATATCAGCAGAGCAATAAAGCATGGCAGGTAGTAAATTTTCCCTTTCCAGTCTTTCCTGCTTTAGGACTGCACTAGAGCAGTAAATACCAAGGGTAACCTGCACTGCCAACATTGAAATGAAGCTTCTCTGTGTACGCAACACTTCTGGGTCATCCTACAGCATATTTCCAATGCGGTGAATACACTTAAAGTTACAGCGCAGCTGTTTAACCTTTAGGTCTTTTGTAATTTTACATTCTTAGAGCAATTGTTTTTCTACTCTTAATAAAAAAAAAAAAAAAAAAAATCACACAAGCAGCTCTGAAACAGTACTGAAACTTCATATCCTTCTATATTCAGTATATACTTATGAAAACAAAATAAATTATTCCCTTAGGCCTGCCACTCTTCAGCCACCCCGCTCACCTCAATATTTGGCAGTGTTATTGTCACCTGTTCACCTTTGCCAACTTCAAGGTCTCCTTCACAGGACATATCAATAGATGCAGGCTTAAAGTCATCTAAATACAAAAACAAACTGGATTATTTACAGGCTTTTCAGGAATCTTATAAATGCAGACACCTTTTAATTGCAGTTGGAGGCTATTAAGTTAAAGTGCCTTTTTTGCTAGTGTATCATCTACCATTCCCCTGAGCAGATCATTCCGTAAGTCAATAGAATTCAAAGTCAAGATGGTTTTCTCAAGATTCAGTGTTAAGTGTTAACACCTTGCAGTTAAAATTAGAAAAATGCTTTTAGGTTTTATTGGTTTAAGAGGCTGAACAAGCTGTGTTATATTTCAAAAGATAAATCCTCACATAATTACTTTCAGAAAAATCAACAAATAGTTCTTGAAAGTGTTGATCCCAAATGTGGGAGTTGTAGACAAATGACTGAAAATGCAAAGAACAACATCAATCCTCAAATCCATTTCTGTATCCACTTCTTATTTTACTATAACATGTATGTCAGAAGCTGACCAAAACTTGGGTTTCAGTATATTTATTTTTGTCAAAAGTGAAATTACTTCCCAATTAAACATTAATTTCCTTTTTGTCTTTTTCAACATCTGAAGTGTTGATTAAAATAAGTTTTAAACAAAAGAAGATATTAATTTCTGGTCCTTTTCAAAAATCCGAGACATTGAAAATGAGCATGTGTTCAGGCATCAGCACTGCTGCTATGTAACATAGCATTATCTATGAAGTATTATTTCCACCACAAATGAATTGGGAAGGGCTACAGCTAAAAGGCCTGCCTGCACAGATCTAGAGAGATAGGACAACATCAGGAGGCTTTGCAAGGCACGTGGTAACAGATGTGGGTTTGAACCCGTGGTTCCAGCAAACTCAGGCGCAGGGCCAGTCTTGCACCCTGGGGATGTCCGGTGCCCTGCCTTGCACGCTGGGGAGAGGCACGGAGGGACCAGGCGCGTCCCATAAAGGGGACCCATTAGACGGCCACGCTCGCTGGCCACGGCATGCACTCCTTGCCTCGCAACGTCACGTCACCAGCTGCTAGTCACAGGTAGCAGCACTCTGTTACAGCTGGGGAGCTTCCCAGTTCAATAACACTGCCTGTAACCCACTGGCCAGGCAGCACAGACCACAGCTGGGAACCCTGGCTCCAGCTTGTACACCAACCGGGCAAGAAAACGAAGCTTCAAGAGCTGGTGGGCAGGACCATGCACACAGCAGAAGGCTTTGAGCTAAGACCCAGGTAACAGCCCCTGCTAACCTTGTTTATGGCAAAACCCCACACGTCGTCTTATAGGGATAAGCATAAAATAGTTCCAGAGTGTCTCATCGAATTAGAGAATGTTTGCTTTAGTATACGGCCACTGGGTAGTTAATATTTTAGAAAATTAAGATACTGATTCCAGTGTCCACAAACAGACTTCTGATGTTAACTTTTAACCAGCAGATGTCTTCCCATTTACTCATTTGTTAAAAAAAAAACTTCAGGTGTCAGAGAAGGATATTTTTGCATGTGCATTTGACAAAACTGATGAACGTGCCAGTTTCTGTGTCTCATTTGTTGGAAAGGAAGAGAGATTTCAAAACAGATTTCAGTATAAATCATCAAATTACAGGAGTCAGCAAGAAATTGTAAGGGTAAGAGGTACCAGACGTGGTTTTTAGACCTCTTTAAAATTAGGGTAAATTTCAAGTTACAGCATTTGTTTAAATCCATTTATAGCTTTTGCCCGCTCCCTCCCCTCTCCCCTCCTCCCACAGTTGCAGACAATCCCTACTAAGTGCCGTTCTATTTGCTCACAGAAAGCACATTACCCATCTCGCTGCACTGCGTGAAAGCATACGGGACGTTCCCCAGAGAACGTACGTGAGACTGAATCTTGGGGATCAGTCTATAAATAATGAGACATCAAAACCAGAAGCAGCAGTCCTAAATTACCAGAACTATAATCCTGAGAGCATTTGTTTCCTAGCTACCCTCAGAATCTTTGAGCATACACCTCTCTAGATAGTAATTATGTACTCAGGGAGGGTATACTAGCTTTGTGATTAATACTGCCTTTAACCTTTGATTGCTGAATTGTACTTCTAAAAACTAAGCACAAGGAAAGAGAGCAAAGCCAGAGCTTCAGCCCAATTCGGTTTTCAGCAGAACTATTCTGCATGCAAAAGCTGTAAAAAGTGAAGTTAGTGCCCAGAAAGTAGCGAGGGGCAGCACTGGGATACAATGGCCGTACACCTCACCGGCAACACGCTCTCAGGAGCGATTGAAACCCCATCGGCACCCCACCGCCCCCGAGATCCCGGACCAGCCCCCCAGCCACAGGGACTCGGTTCCCAGGTGTGCCCCAGGATCTCGGGACAAAGGCAGGCAACTCATTTCGGCTTCCCGGGCCTTGCCCGTGCAGCTGACTGGTATTTCAGCTCCTATCAGGCTACCGGTACGACCTGCCTACCGAATAGATAAGCTCCTCCACAGATAGCGTTTCGGTGCCTGCCCAAGCAGGGGGGAGGGCCCCCGAGCCCGGCCGCAGCGCAAACAAACCCCGCGGTAGTTTTGCCAAGCTGCTCTTCTC